GTCCCTGATCTGGAAGATATGGCAGCTATCATGTGTTGCGCTACTGGCTCCTTTCCCACCACTTACTTGGGTATGCCTTTGGGTGCTATGAATAGATCATCTCAAGTTTGGAATGTGATTGTGGAAAAGTTTGAGAGAAGGTTAGCCTCCTGGCAACAACAATACCTCTCTCTAGGGGGGAGATTAACACTCATCAATAGTGTATTGGACAGCATTCCCACCTATTTTATGTCCTTACTCCTTATGCCAGCTAAGGTGAAACAGCGACTTGACAAAATCAGGAGAAACTTTCTCTGGGAAGGCAACAACAAGGACCACAAAATTCACCTTGTTAAATGGGCCAAAGTCACTTTGCCAAAACAATATGGAGGATTGGGGATAAAAGACTTGGCCTTACATAACAAGTGTTTGCTATTGAAGTGGCACTGGAGATACAATCAAGAGGCGGCTGGCTTGTGGAAGGAAGTGATTCAAGCAAAGTATGGTAGTGATAGTTATTGGTGCTCTAATAAAGTCAGTACCTCTTATGGCACGGGGGTCTGGAGAGATATAAGGAAACTGTGGGAAAAATTCTTCAGTGATGCCTCACTTATGGTGGGAAATGGGGAACATATTCAGTTTTGGAAAGATATTTGGCTAGGAGACACTCCTCTAATGAATGTTTTTCCAAGCATTTTCCAGATTGCATCTCATCCAGACTCAACCATCTCGCAGTACAGGGAAGACAATGTGTGGAATCTGATCCTAAGGAGAAATCTTAATGACTGGGAGTTGGAAGAGGTTTTTAGCCTTATGGCCACCATTCAGACTAGTGCAATCAACAGTCAACGCAGGGACAAACTTATCTGGAGACATAGCAGGGATGGATCCTACACAGTTAAAGCATGCTACCTTCAACAAAGCTCCAAGAAGACCGTAATTGATCAATGGCCATGGAAATTAATCTGGAGAACTAAGTTGCCACCTAAAGTTATTTGTTTCAGTTGGATTACTCTAAAAGACTCTTGCTTGACTCAGAATAATCTCATGAGGAGGAAATTCCAAATAGTCAACAGATGCTACATGTGCTTGTGCAACTCAGAATCTATTAATCACTTGTTCCTTCATTGCACAGTTGCAACAGGCCTATGGAACATGTTCTTCTCACTTTTTGGACTCACTTGGGTCATGCCAAGATCATTGAGAGAGGCTTTTGTGTGTTGGAGTTCTTGGAAAGTTGGGAAGTCCGTCAAGCATATTTGGTCTTTGGTTCCAGCCTGTATTTTGTGGTGCTTATGGACGGAGAGGAACAAAAGATGTTTTGATGGCACCCCAACTCCCATCTCTACCTTTAAAGCAAGATGTTTGATTACTCTTTTTGGTTGGGTTAATCTCTCTCCTGTACTTAGTGTCGATTCTTTCCTAGAATTTATCAGCTCCATAGATCTCTGCTGTTAGCTGTTTAGATAGCTTTTTTTGCCTTTTTGGGAGCTGATATTTCTTTCTTTTGTAATCTGTGCATTTGCTTGATGCTTTGTTAATGACATTCTTCTTACTTCATCAAAAAAAAAAAAAAAAAGAATCCTGAATACACAGAATACTTGATAATGAAATGGATATGGAGATATGAGGGAGAACATCAAACATTATGGAAAGAGGCTAAGTTGCTCAGACTCGGGTGCGGGTATCCGAGACGGATGCGAATCCGAGAGTCAGATTCGGCAAAAATTAAATTTTAAGATTCGGGGTGCGAATCCGAGTATGGATACAGGTGCGGGGATACGGTTAATTGGTATACCTGGTATATATATAATATAAGGTGTAATTTTATATATACATGGTATAATTGCTTATTATTTTTAGCGTACCTCCAAAAATAAATTATATCAATAACAACAATAATAATATATCTAGTATAATCAAATAAGTGGATATATATTTATATAATAAAATATTACTAAAAATATTTATGAAATATATAAAATTTATTTTATAAATAAAAAAGGACACACTTATCTAGAGAAACCCTTCGTCTCTAGTTTTCTTTTTCAAGAAAAGTTGAAAAGACTCTACTTTTTCAAAAAAGATAAAAAAGTTGTACTTCCTGTACTTTTTCAAGAAAAAACTCCTCATCTTTCTTCTTCTCCGTTTTCAAGCTTCGTACAGCTCCGCCTCCTCTCTGAAGAGGTCACCAGAAACTGATCTCCTTTTCCCCAAATTTTTTTCTCGACTCTGGTCAAAGTGTCCGGATCGGATTGACCGAATCTGACATGCACCCCGCACCAGTGTCGCGTCGAGACGGGTTCGCCTGCAAAAATGAAGAGTCCGCGCAACATAGGAAAGTAGTCATTCAAAACAAGTATGGGAAGAACAGACCATGGTGCACCAATACTGTCACTAGCACTTCAGGTGTCCAAGTTTGGAGGTCAATAAAGGCCTTGTGGACCAAAATTCTCAGATAATATCACTTGTAAGGTAGGCAATGGAAACAAAATTCTTTTTTGGGAAGATATATGGAAAGGACAGATGGCATTGAAGAACTCCTATCCTAATCTATTCTCTTTTTGCACCAATCCTGGGGATGATAATTGGTCCAATCATGGGTGGGACATCTCCTTCAGGAGATATTTGAATGATTGGAAAGTGGATAGATTGGCTCAACTCTTACAAGAAATCAACAGCTTCAAAGGCACTACTCCGATCCCCGACACAATCATATGGAAACAAGTTAATGATGGTAAAAACTCTGCGAACTGACTACAAAAAAAGAAGGGAGCAGCCAGGATGTGGGATAGAACCATGGAAGCAGATCTGAAAAAGTTTGGCACCAACTAAGGTTAGATGTTTTTCAGCACCAACTAAGGCTGGGCACCGAACCGGAATGGGACTACCGGACCGGAACGAACCGGTACCGGACCGGAATGGGACGGTTTGTTGACCGGTACCGGGATGAACCGGACCGGAACTACCGGGATGGAGGCTCAGTTCCGTCCCGTCCCACTATATACCGGGACGGACCGGACCGGAACGGGATGGGATAAACGGGACGGCACATATAGCTATTTCAAAAAATAATTATTTTTTTTGAGTTATTTTGAATTATGAAAATACGAATGTTTTTTTTATTTTTCTAAGTTATATTAGTTTATAGTATTTGAGTTTTAAAATTTATAATAATTTTACTTAAGTTTATTTTAAAGATATTTTTTTAAATTTTTACGTATATAAGTTTGTAAGTTAAGTTTAATAAAGTTATTTTTTTTAAGTTTTTGAGCTTATGTAGTTCTATTATAAGTTTTAAAGATTTGAATCTTTTGAAGTTTATAAGTTATTAAGCTATTAAGTTATACTTATAACTTGTAAGTTAAATAACTTAAGTTTGTAATTTTAAAAAATTAAATAAACAAAAAAGAAATGCTAATAAAAGTAAATAATGACAAAAATATTATTTTTTATTTTAATTAAAAACGATTTACCGGGACCGGAACGGAACCGGAATGAACCGGGATGAACCGGTACCGGTATACCGGTGCCAAATCATGATACCGTTCCGTTCCGTGTACCGGTTCAGTGTATCCCATCCCGTCCCGAATACTACCGGACCGGAACGAACCGGAACGGAACCGGTACAACCGGTACAACCCGTTCCGGTGCCCAGCCTTAGCACCAACTAAGGTTAAATGCTTTTCTTGGCTGGTGGCCAGGAAAGCATGCCTTGCACAGGAAATTCTGAAAAGAAGGGGGTTCCAAATAGTATCTAGATGCTTCTTATGTAATGAAGCAGAAGAAACTAATAGCCATCTGCTTCTGCACTGCAAGATAACTGCACAAATTTGGTCCTTATTCTTAAGTCTCACAAACAAAATGGACAACGCCAGAACATGTTGCAGATCTGTTGAGTTGATGGATTAGGAGAGAAGGAAACAAGAGTCAAAAGAAGTGGTGGAGAACAATCCCAGCTTGCATTCAGAAAGTTAAATGAAATTGTATTATATCCTATGAGTTTTGGTGTAAAGAGGAATGTATAGATGAAGTAGAACAGATCATTGATCTATTAGGTTCCCTGTAACTTCTCTTTTGTATTTAGTTTTTCTGGTTCAATATTTATGGGGTCTTCAGCTTTAAGGTATGTTGAGGAAGAAAACATTACTAGTTTCAAAAAACATAACTCATGGGGTGAAATTGCATTGTAGTGAGTTGATGTTGCTTGTGTAAAAAAGCAAGGGAAGGATCATCAGCTGCTATATTGCAATTCTGCAATGGAACATATTCAATATTTAATTTATCATGGGTACAACCTATGGCAGTGGCAAAAGCTGTTGCAAGTTGGGCAAGAAAGCTGAACTCCAGAAAGAAAGAAACATGGAATGTAGCTCCTTCTTGCATTTTTTGGTTGATTCCACAAGAAACAAGAAACGGCATAATTTTGAAGCTATGGAAAAGCACGTGAGGCCTCCACGAGGTAGAGATAAGGTCTATGTAAACTCCACCCTCCCCGAACCCCACCTGTGGAATTTCACTAGTATTTTGTCATTGGAAAAGCACATAAGGAGGGCTAAGAGATCATTTTTCTTCCATTTATACTTTTGGTGCAAAAATAATTCCCGTACTAAAGTTTTGATGTATTTACAATTGCATGTAAGTTTGAGACCATCTTAGTTCAATATTAATAGAACATCTTCATATACATCCCCGAAAAATAATATACATCAACCCCACATACGCTGTAAAAACTCTCAAATCATAGAGATATTTTGTACGCAAGATAAAACAACTTAACTCTATGATCTTTAGCAGACCCATAATGTCGCAGAACACTTGCTGCTAAAGAAGACAACAAAGAATCTAGATAGAGTGGCATTGTCATACACTACTACATACAGAGTTCAATATCCTAGCAAGTGCAACAACTTTCAAACAACTTAGATCAGAAATAGAACAAGACATTGCACAATAGAAGTGAAAGAAACGAATTCAATGGACCCTCTTTTTATTGTTAGAATGAATGCAATGAAACTTACAATGCCACAGCCTGTTTAACCCATGAAAAGAGCTTCAATTTTGCTTTGTATCCTCCACAGTATCATCAGAATCAGAATCACTGGCATTATAGCCTAAAAAGGAAGAAAAGATGAACACCACACAATAACAGTGAACCAATATAAAAGTTAATCAATAAAAAATAGCAAACTGATAAAATCAGTAAACAGAAAATCTACATACCTGGGCGTTTATCACTCACTTTCCATGCCGATGACCGACTCTTTGAAGCTCGGGTAATCCAAGCTCTTCCCTGTACCCAAATTGACCAATCAGTAGAAGCACTTCCCACATCCTCAGAGACAGCAAATAGAGACGGAAAACCGAAAAACTGTCAATGTTTCAAACAAACCTAAAACTCTACTTCTGGGCAGTGGAAAGAGTGGAACTATTTTATTTTGACTGCTTTGAAAACTTCGGGCAACTTCTAATAAATAGATTTATGAAATTGAACAGGCACACTGTGGTTATTCACTTCTTTGATTACAGAGAAGACAAGTAAGCATGTAAATGTTGGTACATCCTCTTAATCATGTGTAACTTCATTAAGAATAAACTAAGCACTTAAATCATGCTAATTTTTCTTCTCCTTATCTTAAATTATTAAAGAGTTCAAGTTCAATTGGATTGTTGCTATCTTCACATGATGGATACTTTCTGTTAATTATGGGTTTCTTCTAGTAGTATTTATAAGGCACACACGAGCTTGAATGTTTGAAGATATTTCATGTGTTTGACAATAATAAACATTTGTTGTTGGCCATTTATCCCATTTTCACCCTTGTTATCGAAACTAATGTAAGACCAACATATTTGGAGGATTCTTCTGAAAAAATAAAAAATATCTAATTGTCAGTGAAGTTATTTCATCCTTTTTTATTCCAAAATCCAAAAAGCTCTTCCTACTTGGAATAGGTTAGAGGGTTCAGCATTTAATAAAGTCAACTTTACCCTGTATAAGCACAAAGAGTGTCAAAACTTCAAGTGTAAGAGCAGTTCAGACTGTGCTCTTTCAACAATACGTTTTATGGTGGTTTTCTCTGTTCATATCTTGTCAATGGAAAACAAGGATCTATACACTAGGTCATTTATAAATCACCCAGTTCAAGATTGTTAGCAAACTATGAGCAACTATAATTGAACTAAGACAAGGAATAAATGGAAGAAGATCATAGGAAGCAAAAATCAAACACCTTCTGTGCATCTTTGGATATACCATAGCCACTAAAATACATCTGACCAACAAGGACCTGCATGTTAGCGTCACCAGCTTTCGCTTCCTTGAGAGTATCGTGGAACCACCGCTTGACACAGTCAGCCACCACGTCAGCAAGAGGTAGCCGCCGCTGGTTCGACGAAGAAGTATTGGAATTGGAATTGGAGTTAGAGCTTGCTTCTTCCATGTTCTTCTTCAGCTTCAGCCGACGCTCCGATGAATCGCCGTCGACCACCGCCCTAGACTTTGCGGCCACAGGGGATGGAACTGACCTAATTCTGGATGCGGGTTTGACTTGGGTCGGGCGCTGGATTCTGTTGGAGCTGATTATTCTGGCAAAATCTTGAATTCTATTTGGTGAAGGAAGCGATTTCCCCATAAAACGTCGCAGAAAAAAAACCCACTAGGCCACTACTTTTTGAATTTTCAGTAATTGCAACACCCCTAACAAGGAAATATTTGGGTACACCCACAAAATTGATTTAAAAAATACAAATTAGATCTTAATGTTCTTCTCTTTTTCTTTTTCTTTTTTAAAAAAAATGTTTTTATATTGCTTTAGATGTTGAGACTTGGGGCCGCACTCATAGATATTCATTTAGTTTGTTTTCTTTAATCAAGTGGCAATAGAAGATGTCTTGATATCCACAAATTAATTATTTTTTTAAAAAAAAGGTTCATTATTGTTGATTTTTTGAAGATTAAAATCTTAATGTGTAGCCAGCTTTTATCAACGAAATTAAAATTACAACTTTTAATTCTTTTGTACAAGTACTTTGCAAAGATGAAATAATAAATTTGTTGCATGTCGTATAAAAAATAACCAGCAGAATCTTAATAACTGACACAATTACTTGTGATAATTTTTTTGCACAACTCTTTTGGTTATAAGATCAATTGTAAGAAAAACGATATGTTTAGGGTTAAGAAGTGACGATTGACGAGGAGTGACTCATTATTCTCGTAAGAAGTGAATGGAATATTAAGTGGAGCTTTATATTTAGGGTTTGCATACTTTATATACCTAGGTATAAAAATATAATATGGTTACGAGTTCACAGTTTATTTAATAAGGAAATTGTGTAATCTGTCCCTCTACTGCAAAGTCGCTAATTATAATTTTTAAAATTCATTCACCAACTGTGAATCTGATAACCACTACTAATAATCCAATTTTGTAATTGGTCTATCAATTATGGTTTGATTTTGAACAATCTTAGTAAATATGTTTCTTAATGAAGTCTTAGCTCATTATTGGTTGTAGGATTTGACATAAATATAAAAAAAATAGAATCATATCAAACTAATTTGATTCATCGGTATGAATATAATTTTATTTTATTTTTAAAGTTTGGTATTTTATTTGAGGGTACCGATTATTCGGTTCACCGAAGAACTGAACTTGTATTCCATAATTGGAAATCTAAAATTCTACATAGTTGGAAATCTCTTCTATAGAACAAATTGCTCAACTTCTTGACATCATTATACTCGATCTTAACTTTGAACACTTTTGTTCATGATTTTTGTTGCTGGATTTGTTGAGTAACGAAGTTGTTCCTTGGGGTCTTGTGTTGTTTGTGAATAAGAAGAATGGTTCTATGTGAATGTGTATGATTATAAATAGTTGAAGAAGGTTACCATCAAGAATAAATATCATATTTCGTACATTAATGATTTAGTTAACTAACTTCATGACGCTTTGATGTTTTTGAAGATTAACGTGAGGTCAAGATATCACCAATTGAAGATTAGGACTTTAGACGTCCCTAAAACATCTAAATCAAAATTAGTAGGTGGATCAACTACTTAAGAGTTCTTAGACCCAAATTAATGCGCTAAACAAACATGGGATAGGTCAAAGATCCATACGCTCAAAAGGCAGTATATATTTATAAATTTAGGTCAAAAGTCATATTACACACACACACATATATATATATATATACACACTAGATGGTTCTTGCCCGTGCTAAGCACGGGCCCAACAGTTTAAATTCTGATATAATTTATTGTGTTTGATCTACCTAGGAAATATGTTCGAGAAATCAAGTACCATAATAAACATTTTTATTCAAAAAATTACATAAGACAAAAAATAAAATTACGAATAATAAGTAATTTTTTTTATAAAGATCAACAATCTTAGTGAGCTCTAGCTTTGAATCGATCAAGAAGTTACTAAATTCTACCAACCTATTTTTGTTTATGGCTTTTGTTCTTGCACTTGAACTCCACTCTAAGCAGTCTTTACCCCAGGAACAAATATAGTTGTGAACTACCAGGACATGGTGGGGAGGGACCTTACATTTAGAAATTTTACAGAAATCTCCACCAACATGTTCACTACTCTTCATCTTGATCACACTATATATATTGATCCACAAAAGTTAGTACATTTTCATCTCTGTGAGTGAGCAACTGAATTACAAGAAGTAATAATATTTGTCATGCTGAAATACTATTGAAAGACCTGAGAGTTAGTTCATACAGACATTGCAACAGAGAACCATACATACTCAATTTATATTTATATAAGATACATTCAAATGATATTGGCTCAAGCTTGAAAAAACGAAGAAGATGGTTTCCTGAATCATCAACCATTTCAAGCCTCAAAATATTTCCATTCAAATTATCAAAAAATAATCAAGCTCGAAATAATTGATTAGGGGGTATGATCTGAACTTTCTTTTGTTGTTTCTATTAAGTCATTGAAGGGTAGATTGGAGTTTATGTGAGTTCGTTCTCTACTGCTTTTGTATTTGCTTTGAGAGCCTATTTGAGAGTGCATATCCATTTTTCTTTCTTTCTTTAATCTATTGAATTTATAAGATCATTTTTTGGATTCTTCATTGTCATCAATATCTATAGATGGCTACTGATAATGTTTCACCAGATCATCCTACACCCGCCTCTGAGTTAAGCTTCTATGAATTATGGTTTCATGTTGCTAACGAATTTAGTTAGATTTTTACCAAAATATGTTTACGTCTCTTGTTTAGGTACTTTTAAATGGATACATATGTTGACAACTTAGTTGAAGTACCCTTATTGGTTGTTTGGTTATAGATAGAGTTTTGCAGCAAATACACTATTTACTGTATCATCTCTAATGTTATGTGTTTAGTTTTATTAACACAACTCAGATTTTAGAATTTATATTGTGACCCAATTTTGAGTTCAAGGGTCCTTGTTAATAATGTATTTTGATTTTACTATTATAAGGATATTAGGGTGATGAACCTCATCAGCCCCTGCTATCTCTACGAAAGCAAAAAGAGAACTTCAATGTTCAAGTGCATTTTACCAAGTTTTCAAACACGTAAGTAAGGACTTCTCTATGGAAGATAATAAAACTACATGACAACTTAATAAAAAAGGATTTGAAATGAAATGCACGGTAGCTTAGCAACCTAGAATATGAATTTAAGGTACAAAGTTGTCGAGTAGACAACATCTTTTTAATTCATCTTTGTTTGCTCGTTGTCGAGCTAAAAAGACATATTTTTTCTTGGGTGGTATTAGTTTAAACAACTCACTCGTCTAGCTTTTTGGTTCAGTGCATATATTTTCAGAGGTGTGATCATAATTATAACTCCTCCCTAACATTGCTGTAACTTTTCTGTTCCAACGAATATTCTTCGGAAAAAAATCCAGTCAACCATAGTCCATATGTTTAATACTATTTAGTATGGTTATATGGTGATATAATTTCAACTTTAAAGGCACATTTCATAGGTAAAAACAACTCAGATAAATATAAACATACGATCTTTATACATAGATGATAAAATCAGTGAAAAGGAAGATAGGCATATCCAAGATGATCAAACCAATCTTTGACATTGACGTATTACCAGCCAAAAGAGCACCATAGACCTTGAAAACTTGACATTTTAATGCGAAGAAGCTGACTGGGAAATTTAAATCCTGCAGAAGATGACACTTACCAAAGTTAAGAAGGTTAAACACACACAAAGACAAAAATCACCACAACAGACGTAAAGACTCCCAAAACAACTTAGGCTTCAAAATTGGAGAATATTTAAGAAAATGACTAACCAAACCAAAGTGTGGATTGATTTAGATGAAATCCAAGCATCTCGTTGTGTCTAAGTGGAGTATCACCTGAAATTCTAAAAAAGAGCTAAACTCGGCAATTCAAAGAGACGAGATAGTCTAAGGAAGTTCACAACAGCCGAACTCACATATTTTAACAGATGTAAGATAAGTGAGATTATGAATTTTTTTGTTGCTCAATGATGCATTGTTCTCACTCTTTCTGTGATCTTCTATCCTCCTCCAATTCCATTGGCAAACTTCTCTCGCTCTAATTCATACTGATGAATGAAGAATAAGCAGCCATTAGCTACGCCAATGCAAGAGAAGATTAATCTTCTACTCTTAACAAAAACAAACAAATAGTAATACTGGAAGGATGCATCATACATGTCTGAGCTAGATTTCAATAAGGATTAAGAAATAGAATCAATTTCATATACTTTCAAGTTTCAAGCACCTCTTTTCAATTTTTTTCGTGCCACAACGCAATCAGAAAGCAACTACTTATACAAGTTTTTAAAAAAATTGCAAGTGGGAAGAGCCATCCAAATATATACTCACTTGACTCACGTTTATAAACAAATGAATGACAACTATGTTTCAATCCTAAACAAGTGGGGTGTGTAATCACAAGCACATATATTCAAGCCAAAATATCAGTGCATGGATCAACTAAATGGAAGGATTCTAATTCTTGAAGGCTTTCTTTTGACTCTTGAATCTCTTATATTAGAATATGTGGTCCATAAAATTAGTGTTCCTTTTTATTAAGCCATGAAATGATGGTAATCAGTCATTTAAACGTGTCAAAATATAAAGGGAATGAAAAAAAACATTAGCCATCTCCTTCCTAGAACCTGTTCCAAATTCTACTAATATGAATAATATTGCAACCCTCAAAAGAGTAATAGCAGTATCTATGTAATTTTTTCTTTTCTTTTTCTGATGGGTAAAAGGACATCATCTTATGTCTGTTCAAATATTTTAACAAGTTAAGCTATTAGTTCAATATAGGAAAGGAATTGTGTTGTGTTTGTTGAAGAATGTAAGTATATTGTTGTTGAAAAAAATAACAGAGACAAACACTGCACAATGAATCTAAGATCTACACAATTTTAAAATTATAATTTTTTCAGTGTGAAACAAATTAATTAAAGATAGCAGTATTTTTAAGATCAAACAAATTCAAGAGGTGAATAAAAAAGGCTTACTATTAGTAATAAATCACAACATCTAATACAAAGTTTACAAGTTTGATTAGGTTTTTAACATGAAAAAAGCAAAAGTGAAACTAAAGAGAGCCTAAAATTGAAAGAAACCTCGAGTTGCTGTCGTGTTGCTGCATCTGTTTAGGGGTAGAGAAAAAAAGGTCAACCGGTCTTTCTAGAGCTCCACTTT